CATGATTTCCATTGTGAACTACTGTATTAACCATTTTAAAACAGCCAATAATCAAATCAAACACCAGAAGTCGATCCAGTAAAAACCCAATGCTACGACCCAAATCAAAGTCAACTTTAATGTCAATCTTACTCAGTTTGTGTTTACAGACAGAGATCGAAATGACGTTTCCAACAATCCCGGATGTAAAATTATACCGTATACAGCTATGTATAAAATATGTGTATCCTATATACAAAATCAACATACACATTTACACATATGCACACATTAAGATAAAAAAACACAACAATCAATCTATACAAAATAACAGTCACTTCAATTTATTAACTCCAAACTGTTGATAAGAGCAGACCTTCCTAATAAGTATGACAAATTAAACATTCATGTGACAACGTGCTGCTCTCCTCTCATAGGATCCATCGTCACACAACAGCAGGCACATGACCGTAAGAAAGAGTTACTAAAGCCCACATTGGCTTAGCAGCAAACAAGCAACATTTCAGAGATTACAAAATAATTGAGCCACTCTGTTTCTGACTGTGAGACTCAGTGCCCTGGCGACGTGGGACTCATGTTGTCTTTGTAGCTCTGCGGTCCGTCAGTCAGAGTTTAACTCCCACCGTGTGTGCTTGTTGATCTGTGCAGAGTCCACCTAAAGAACAACACTTTATTTTGCCTCGCTTTAATATAATGCGGCTCACTACAGAGGAGAAAATAGAGCTGGGAGGCAAAAATCAGGGGACGATCAATCCTGCATTTGGGGTAAGTTTTTATTTTGTGTTATTTTTTAGGTTCAAATCAAAGTGTCAAACCCTGAGTGAGGGTTTAAAATGAGTCACTTGCTTATCTTTTGATTATGAACAATCTTAAGAATCAGAATACCTTTATACGTCCTACAGAGGGAACATTTGTATTTGTTAAAGCAAGAAAAGAGCCAAAGACAGCTTAATGTTACCTAAGAAGCATTCATTAAAACATATACAAGAAAATATACACAATTTACATAATACACATCCTGTAACGAGCTGTACAAATAATCATTATTCAAAGTCAACTTTAAAATATGTTTGTACACACAGAAAGATCGAAATAATGTTTCCCACAGTCCCGAGGTTTTAAAAAAAACACACATTAAAATGCAAGAACACTCAATAATTACAAAAAAACACAAAATAACAGTTTATTTCAAGTAAGAATGATATATATAAGAAAGATGATGTACATAGTGCAAATGAGAGTGCAACAAATGTCCATAGCAGCGTAAAAAGTGAATGTTATTCATATATTATTATTACTATAATGATTATGCTTTAACTAACAGACAAATAGAAAGGTAACTGAACTAAGAGCATCCATAACATTCACCTGTTTGCAACTCACACATTATGTATCACTTGACTCTTACGTCACTACTTCTATTCTATTCGATTGTATTTACTTGCACTGGTTTTTCAGTGTTATTGTGTTGCACTGTTGGAGAAGCCTGTGACCTAAGATTTTCCTCGACATAACTACACTGTAGCTGTGAACGAATGACTAATAAAAGCCTTGAATCTTGAAAGTACAATGCTGGTTTCTTACGTTATAGCAGTAGCAGCTAAATGTAAGCCAGTGTGGAATGTGAAATGACCAAAGTGAGATCACTCATACAATACGACTGGATATTTCATTGGAATCAATTGCATGCTATTTTAATGTCCAAGTTCAAGCTAGTAATTCTCTTTGACAACAAGAAACTGATTAAAGGTTTTTTCAGGCAGGGATGTGTGTTATTTGCGAGTACGGTATGAATGCCTAGCTGCATGGGGTGTGAAAGTGGACACAGCTGAGCTCAGGGTGGATGTGTTCTCTTACTTAACTGAAGAATTTGAGAAAACGGGAATACAAACAAACACCACAGCTTGTCTGCAGATGGGTAAACACGTCAAACTGTCAACATCCGCAAAAATTGAATACAGGACAAGGAACATGGCCACTATTGTTTATGTTATTGTCTTTGTCTTGTTTCTGTTCTGATTGTATGTGGAGCGTCTTTGAGCATTAGGAAAAGCGCTATGCAAATCCCATGTGTTATTATTATTATTATATTACCTACTGTACCTGAAACAGCAAAAAAACGATATGCTTTTACCATACAATGAATTCAAAGATGTTGAGCCAGGGTTTCAATATTTCATAAATCGATGGAGATTGCTGGCTTTGGCATCAAGATGTCATAATTAATATTTACACTTTGAGCATCAAAATATAATTCAAGTAACCTCTTTTGAACTTTTGACCCTGTTTTTTAAAACTTTTTTTAAATAAGGGAATCGAAATGCAGTATCAAAGTCAACTGTATTGTCAATCTTTCAGTTTGTATGTACAGACAGAGAGATCGAAATACTGTTCCCCACAATCCAGACGAATACAGAATACAAATATGTATAACAATATGTATAAACATATATATACAAAACCAACAGACACATTTATACATATGCACACATTAAAGGCAACAGTATGTTTTCAATAAAACACATCTTAACTTAAAGCTCCCAGGTCATGCTTTTCCGGTTATTACCCGTCCCCTTGTGTGTTATGGAGGTTTTTCTGCATGTAAACGGTCTGCAGAGTCACAAACCCTCAAAGTACACCCTGTAGAGAGTAAAACTCTAACACAGAGAAGACCTGTCTATGCTGCCCCAGAACGCCTCGTTGGACATTTCTCTGTTTCCGTTGTTTTCTTCNGTTTTCAATAAAACACATCTTAACTTAAAGCTCCCAGGTCATGCTTTTCCGGTTATTACCCGTCCCCTTGTGTGTTATGTAGCTTTTTCTGCATGTAAACGGTCTGCAGAGTCACAAACCCTCAAAGTACACCCTGTAGCGAGTAAAACTAGAAGACCTGTCTGTGCTGCCCCAGAACGCCTCGTTGGAGATTTATCTTTTTCCATTGTTTTCTTCCTGGGTATAGTGACGTAACGGCTCCTGCAGACTTCCTCACACACACACACACACACACACACACACACACACACACACACACACACACACACACACACACACACACACACACACACACACACACACACACACACACACACACACACACACTCAATCTTTTCTCAGCTGCAGTTCCGCAGATTTCTCAGCCTGAACTCAGCCTGAGACGGCGGGACACGGCAAGGCTCGGCCTGGGCTCGGGCTGAGCACAAACACAGACTCACAGCCAGGCTGCGGGTGTGTGTGTGTGTGTGCTCGGGCTGGATTCGGGCTGGGTTTCGCTGTGTCTCGCACAATATAAATCTATTCTAGTAGAGCTCAACAGTGGAATTATGATCAGTAGAAATGGCCATGTCATGGGACCTTTAAGTCTACTCCTGGGAGGAAGTAGCTGGATCTTTTAAGAATATTTGGGGACAAAGTCACCCTACTTTAAAGTGGACCTATCATGCTATATTTGAATAATATAGTGTAGGACCATACCTATATAAGGCATATTTATACTTTTTATTTTTCAAAATACCAAACAGATCATGCATTTTAGCCATTCCTCATTTCGCTCAACTTAACACTGTCTTTGCATCATGGGCTGATTCAGTGAGAACAGCACCACCTACAGGCCTGGCATATGTACTACAGCGTCTCCAGCGCTTTCCAACGGCAATGTCCGTGGCGTCTCCTCACTGATTGGTGGAGTTGGCCCAATAGCCGTTAGCGCACTCTGTGACGTCATTAGAAGTGTTCAAATCTGGATCAGTCTGTACAGATCCGTTGCAGGCCTTTTTAAGAGATTTTGGGTATGGAGGAAAATAGATGAGGTTGTGTTTGTGTGTTCTGACACTTTGGTGAGTTCCCTGGAACACCGGGGACCATATATTCATCGTATCAAGACGTACAAAGTCATTTGCATGATAGTTTCCTTTTAAAAAAAACTCTCAGTCTTTTTCTAACAATCTTTAAAGGCCATGCATGTAAGATAGTGGTATTCAGCATCTCACCAGTAAATTGTAACAGCCTGTGTTAAGGATTGGTGCATTCTTGAATAAAGAAAGCGATGATTTTGAAGAGTTTCCTATAATAGAAGAAAGAAAAATAGATGGATGACTAACAAAACAAATGAACCAATTGGCAAGTACATCGGTAAATCCAGTGGTTGCAAGGGAAGAGTCATACGTAAATATGTAATTGGAGTGTATTATAACTATGTGAGGCATTCTCAGCAACATGGTTATCATAGATGTCAGTGCAGCCCTGTTAGACCTGTATATAAAAGTTAAGGGAAATGAGTTTACTGGCTAAATGCAGTGGATGATAATGTGGTGCTTGAGAATATCTATTCATGAAATATAATTTTAAATAAAATATCCCATCCAGTTCACACTTTTAGACTTATTTGAATATGGTGCTCGATAGTATATTAAATTAACAATTTCGAAACCAAATGGAAATGAGTACAGGATACAACATGTTAGAAGGAAGATCTGGATTGGCTAGATGTATCAGATTATCTTTATTTGGACACTTACTTTTAATTATTGGTAATGGTCCGATGATTTCTATGATACTATACCAATTACTTTTAATGTATTGTCCATATATTGAATGTAATTTGTCCTATAATATCATCATAGTGTTGCGTGAACCAGGGCTACATTAAGAGATAGCGCAGAAAAGCGCCAATCAGGGAGACAATGACAAACGGCCGAAAAAATGAAGGGCTTTTACTGGTGTGCTAGTTACTTGTCTTTTGTGCATTTAAAGTCATACGCATAGAAGGTGACTGTCATTTGGTTTGTCAGCTGCACTCACGAGTCGAGGCGAAGCCAATCGTCAGTATAAGGTGAGTTAGGTGAGAAATTGGAACATGCATGAGAAAATTGGAGTGTGTGTGTG